TTTATGAAACCCGCAAGGAACTGAAACCGAGGCAAATAAAAACAAAACTCGATCTCAAAAACGGGATTGTCCTGTGAGCAAGGAATCAAAAATATCTTCAAATGGCAAAATGATAAGCGATCAACGAACCGAATGAAATCGCTATGTCAGAAGTGGAAGGCAATAAAGATATATTCTTATTCCTTTTTTTTTTCATGACAAGCAGCCCGTGCGACATAGCTCCCTCGGAACGGTAGAAGGAAACGAGCAAATTGTTGGCAAGCTGCTTCACGAAGTAAAGCCGGAGATGATACACTTGTGTTAATGGGAATTTTGTTGTTGTCTTTTCTCGATTCAGATCAAGCTATGTCCTCATCCATGTATATTGCAACAAAGCAGGTAAGCAATATATCATTATCCTTCTACCACTCCGATCGAGCTGTGTCACAGAGCGAGTTTGTCATGGTAGTCGTAGCGACCGTTTTGTCTGTATCATTGCTTTATGTGTTTGGATTTGTTGAGACAAACAAAAACAAAAACATAAAAGGCTTAATTTATTTTTCTGGATAATATCAAAAACTTGGGTAACAAATCTCCAAAGACTGTATTCACGGATAAAAATGGATTTTAAGATTTGGGAAACCCCCCACACTTCTTTAATTCTCGTTAGAAGCCTTACTCTAGGAGATAAATGGATTCTGAAAAACCCAAACACCACTAAAATTTCGATAAAGGTTTTATTACGAAAATAAATGGATTTTAAAATTTGAAAAGCCCAAACACCTCTAAAATCTTTTTAAAGGCTTTATTTTCGGAGATAATCAACTTTTAAGATTTGGAAAACCCAAACACCCCTACCATCTCGAAAAGGCCTTATTCACGGAGATAAATGGATAATAATAATATTTGGAAAACCCAAACAACTCTAAAATATCGATAAAGGCACTATTCGCGGAGATAAATGGATTTTATGATTTGGAAAACCCCAACGGACGTGTAGTTTCTTAATTAATTGCCTATTCGCGGATCATTACTGTCCTTAATCTTTTAATCACCTTTTTGCTACAGTAAAACGACTTTTCGTTCGTTTTGAAGATATGTATTAATTATGAAAACATTTGAAATTCTGTAAAGAAGTGTTTCTGACCTTCTTTTCAAACCCCAACAAGATTTTCGTTTCCGGATTTTTTCGTGTTCAACCTTTAGTAGCAACAGGTGTCTTCTGGCTAGCGTATCTTCATCGTACATACGCACGTGGGTCCAGTCTGGATTACAACGCTGGAAATATAATGCAATGCGAAGGGAGCTTCCTACTGTTGGTGAAGTGATCATCAACCAATAAGGTACAGAGAGAGGTGAAGCTGATCGTGAAATATTTTTTTTTTATATCTTTATTAAGGAGCCTTTCAGCCCTGGGCTTCGTGAAATATGGTTGTATTAGTAAAACAAAAAATCAACGTAAACGTAGTGACGTCACTAATTGCTTGTCTCTTACATGGGTTTCACTCACACAACTTAACCGATTGCTTCACCTCGGTAATCCAGCTCATTGATCATCAACTGCTTTTGTTTAAGAGGGGTATACACTCAGATAAAAAAAAAAAGAAATAAATTAAAATCGACGAACATTTATATAAACATTGTAAATGAGGTTATTTTAAGAAAATTCGTCCAAAACTACAATTTTATATCTCCCAACTGGACAAAGTTATAGGCAAGGTTGCAAAGACTCATTTCAGCTAAAACAATGTTTTTCTAAATTATGAAATAATTAGATGCCATGATCAAATTTTGAATTGGTAGGATACAAGAAGAGGTTGCAAAGAATGTGTTTGACATATTAAACCTGTTTATTTCACTTCATGAGAGTCACAATCAGCGATTTTTCACAAACTCACTCACTCACTCAGCGATCAGCAAATCGCTGATTGTGACTCATAAGAAGCAAAATTTACAGGTTTTATGTTTCCAACGCATACTTTGTAACCTCTTTTTGTAAGTTACAAGTAAAACATGCCATCATACCATCTTTTGGTTTTATTATTCCGAAAAACATTATTTTAGCTGAAATGAGTCTTTGCAACCTTGGTTATAGGGTGAAAATGGAGTACGAACGGTAGTATCAAATTAAAACCGGTTGTTTTACCATAACTTTTTTGTTTGAATTTTCCAATTTTGTCAATGTTGTACAAAGTTGTAAGTGCTTTAAAACCGACATTTAGGCTCAAGAAAACAAATTGCTATCTCTTTGTTTTAAGGATTTACATCCGTTTTTATAATTTTATAATGCTATCTTCAAGGAGGTGTATCTAGCAGGTTAGCAGGAATTAGCAGCTAAACTCATCGTTATTTTGTTCAAAATCTTATACCCTACTGTTGCATATACTATTCATAGGGGATCCTCCGAAATTACATTGAGTTTAGCTGCTAATACCTGCTAACCTGCAAGATACACCTCCTTGAAGATTATAAATACGGATGTAAATTCTTTAAACGAAGAGATAGCATTTTGTTTTCTTGAGCAAAAATGTGCATTTTTAGAGCACTTGCAACTTTGAAGAACATTGATAACATTTAAAATTCAAACAAAAACGTTATGGTAAAAAACGAGTTTCAAGGGATAAAACCATTTATACTCCATTGTCACCATATCACTTCGCCCAGATAAGAGATAGAAAATTGCAGTCAAATTTTCTTAAAATAGTTATTTTAATTTACAATGTTTTCATAGATGCTCATCAATTTTAACAAGACATAAAAAGTTATTTTTTTATTTGAGTGTATTTTTATTTTGTCTTGTTTTACGAGACAACTAGACCATATTTGAGAGTATTGTAATCAAATAGAAACTCAATCACCTTTATTTTTCGTGTGTTTCTCAAATTCAACTGGGTTTTGGATTCAAAAATAATATTCTAACTCTATTGATTAATTGATGGCACCTAGAAATGAGCAAAATATTTCGATTCACTCAATTACTATTTTACACGTACATCGAATCGAAAAGAAAAGTCATGTGAAATGCTATCTTCTGGCAAGGATTGCAAGATAACTGACATACAAAATCCTGCTGCCGAATTGGGTTCTTTAATTTTGAAAAACATGTCGGTCATTATAAGCAGCTGAAACAACGATATATTGTCGAACCCATAGACTTTCATTTCGATTTTTAAAACAAGATTTAAAGCAAAACAATAATTTCACTGTTTGACACTAAACTAACCAATTGACAGCTCACTCTCATACAAAGTCCTACCGAGGGGCACTAAAATGGTGTTTTTTTTTTGCTAATTTAATCGCACTTATTTCAAATAGTTCCAGTGTACCAAAATCTACGAACTTTTGGATTTCGGTTCCATTTTTAATGCAGATTACGAAAACGAATTTACCTAAATACCCTTACAGAACCCAATTTTATTTTGTTTTCTTCACCGACCTCTCCCTTTTGAGGATTTATAGTCAGCAGGACTGTAATACAAGTACAGACAGAGCTATGCAGCATGTAGAGCAAGTCTGCTGGCAGACTCTGGTTGATCACGTTGCACTATTCCTGGAAGCGGTATTTTTAACAGTTTGATGCCTTTAAATGGTGCCTTCTAAGTAGAATGGGTCTCGTTTCCAGTGTATTCCAAAATAACACTATAGCACTAGTCGAGTTTTGTCCCTTTAAATTTGCTTCCACGAGTTTTTCCACCTTCCTCCTCCCCGTGTTGCTTTTACCCATAAACTGAGCAAATCGCATGACCTGAGATTGAGGACCTTGATGTAGAGACGAGACGATTAGCGAACTAGCAACGCCAGCTAGCTGAGCTAAAGAGTCCTAAGCTAAACTCCCATTTGTTTTTATCAGCAGTTAGTTATAACTCTTAACAATTACTACTGAACAATGAAAAAATCTGCACATTGTAAACGAAATACGCGATCAGTCAGAACTAAACGATTAACTCTCATGCCCACCAACGTCTAAGACCTTGTACAAACATGCAAAGTACACCGTTGTACCAAACGGTGGAATCTAACGATTTTAAATAGGCTCATTTCTTGACTAGTCTATTGGTCCCAAGCAAATCGATTAACGTACCCCATTCTAGTCGAAATTCTAGTACTACACTATGTTTGTTTTGATTCGCTATGAAAGTTTGACAGATAAAATAAGGGGTTCGAGGATTTTCCTATGTTTCGAGGGGTGCATCGATTAGCTTGGGACCGAAGATAGTACCAGAGCTGAGCCAAAAAGTTGAGCACGTTATTTCGGGACCTTCTAGTCTTAGAGTTACCTCTATGCTACTAGTCTTAGAGTTACCTCTATGGTACAACCACAAACGAAGTGACAGACGGAGCGGCTCGAAAACTTTGGTGACTAACCTGCTATTGCAATTTTTCAGTGTACCACACGGCAACACCACTACTACTGGATTGTACCACATGGCAACACTACTATTAGATTGAACTAGCATTTTCACCAAATGTACTAGAATGTTTTGGTTCTATCTCATTCACTCTACTCAAAACTGAAATGCATAAAAAAATGACAAAATGATACGCACTCTTTGCACTCTGTTAAAGAATCATTGTACACAAAATCAACTTTGTTCAAATCAAAACAAAAAAACTAACCCATCTGATGGATGATGGCACAAGCTTCCAAGAAAATTCTATTACAGTGAACCACATTATTTTAATGGATTTCTTCGCCAGTTAGTCGTCTGTAACTTCGTTTGTGGTACAACGGTACTGCTTTGTATGTCTGTCGATGGTATAATACTGTAAAATGGTAAAACTATCATAACTCTGTCATTTATAACAGATTTTTTATCCATCCATCTAAAAAAACGCAAACTCCTCATGTTGTGATCAATTGTAAAGGATTTTAAACAAATCATGAAAATATTTTGAATTGAAATGGGATAGTTTTTGCCGTTGGGGATTTGAGAGTTAAAAAAACTGGAATTAATTGTTACTTCCCTTTCATTTATCAATACATTTTTTTCAATGCATGTGAATATGAACCACCCAATTACCTGGGGTATCCTTCAGCTTTTCACCTTTGTGCTTAATACCAAACGAGTAGGCAGGAGAATGATCCAGTTTTGATTTGTCTAGGTTGTACGTTCCAGGAGCTACAACAGAGAAACAATATTTTAGTCAACACACACACACTTTCATCTCAAAACCAAAGAACTCGTAATCAAAAGCGAACGGCATAGGAAAACTGTCACACATTGGTACATCATTACCTGGCACATCGTTCGCCTTCTCACGATTGACCTTGATACCGAACTGATACGCCGGTCCATGGTCCAGCTTGACCTTGTCGACTTCGTACGCCCCGGGAGCCGGTGTCACTTGAATCTTATCCTCATGTGGCCTCACTCCGAACGAGTAGGCAGGAGTACTATCCAGCTTCACCGCTTCCGTATTGTACGCTCCAGGAGCCGGAGTTAGCTGGATCTTGTCGATGTTGGGCCTAACTCCAAACGTGAAAGCTGGGTTATGAATCTTGGCTTTCTCGGGCGAATAACTTCCCGGTGCAGGAGTGACATCGATTTTATCGATATTGGGACGAACTCCAAATGTGAACGAAGGCATTGTGTCGGAATTTGCGGCTTCCGGGTTGTAGGCACCCGGACCCGGATAGGTGTTCTTCTTTTCCACATTTGATTTCACTCCGAAGCTGTACTGAGGAGAGTGATCGGGGTTGCATTTCTCCGGGGAATATGACCCGGGAGCTGGGGTGTTAAATGCCTTGGCTGTGTTGGTTTTCACTCCAAAGCTGTAAGCGAGAGTCTTGTCGACAATTTTATCGTTGTCGTAGCTTCCTGGGCCCGGGATGGTATTCTTCTGTTCGACATTGGTTTTGACTCCAAAACTGTAGGAAGGGGTAGATTTGTCAACCACTTTATCCGAATCGTAAGCCCCCGGACCGGGAACGTTATTGTGCTTCTCTAAATTGGTCTTCACGCCGAAACTGTATGAAGGAGTAGTCTTATCTATTACCTTGTCAGAGTCGTAGGCTCCCGGCCCAGGGATGGTATTTGGCTTATCGAGATTGGGCTTTACCCCGAAACTATAAGCCGGGGTGCTCTTATCCAGTGACTTATCTGCATCGTAAGCACCTGGCCCGGGTACCATGTTGGGTTTGGAAACATTTGTCTTCATTCCAAAGCTGTACGACGGAGTACCCTTGTCGGTTGCCTTATCCGAGTTGTAAGCTCCTGGACCGGGAACGTTATTCGGCCTTTCGAGATTTGTTTTGACACCAAAACTGTACGAGGGAGCTCCCTTGTCTGTTTTATCGGAATCGTACGCTCCCGGACCGGGAACCGTATTAGGTTTATCAACGTTAGTCCTAAGACCGAAACTGTATGCCGGCATACTCTTATCTACTACCTTATCCGAATCGTAGGCACCCGGCCCCGGAACTACGTTAGGCTTCTCAACGTTTGTCCTTAATCCGAAGCTATAAGCTGGTGTCTTATCTACTACCTTATCATTATCGTAGGCTCCCGGACCGGGGATATCGCTCTTCTTGTCAACGTTAGTCCTCGCTCCGAAGCTATAGGCCGGAGAGTTTTTGTCCATCATCTTATCGGCATCGTAGGCTCCCGGTCCGGGAATGGCACTTGGTTTCTCGAGATTGATTCGTGCTCCGAAGCTATAGGACGGAGTGCTATCTAATTTGGCTTTTTCGGGAGAATAAGCTCCTGGTGCGGGAACGCAGCTCACCTTGTCGATTGTCGGTCGAAGGCCGAAGCTATACTTCGGTGCCCCGTCCAGGTTGGCCTTTTCCGGTGCGTACGCTCCCGGGGCTGGATTGCTGTTCGGTTTGTCGGTTTTCGTTCGCTGACCAAAACTGTACGCGGGATGATGGTCTAGATTTACTTTCTCTACTGCGTAAGCCGTGGGGGCAGGCGTATTGCTAGGCTTGTCGTGATTGATACGCATGCCGAATGGATATGCGGGTGAGTGATCGAGTTTCTTGGCCTTCTCGGGCTCGTACTGACAGGGTGCTGCGGATGGAGGTGAGACAACGGTTTTAATGAAGAAGATGATATTCTACAGTGATTGTGATTCTAATTCTAATAGGAGTATGTGGCCAAGATCCGACATCAGCCGCACGGAAACTTACCAGGATTGTTGTTTGGCTTATCCAGATTGGGCCTAATTCCGAAACTGTAGGCCGGGGTGTTGTCGAGTTTGGCCTTTTCCGGTTCGTATGCTCCAGGAGCTGGTGTGTTGTTAGGTTTTTCAATGATTGTTTTCATTCCGAACGTATAAGCTGGTTTCCTATCTAGGGCTTGGCTGGCCTTTTCCGGCTCATAGGCACCGGGCGCTGAAATGGAACTTGATATTGTTAACGAACTGCGTGAACGGAAGCGGACGATGCGTCGCATAGTGCGCGGAGGGGGTCATGAGCGAAGATCGTTAAATGAGGTATTAGCATAGTGTGTACTGGGAAGCTTTCTTACGCACGTTCTAGCATTTGTGAGGTTATTCATATTAATGTAACTTTTTAGTAGGTATGTACAACTTTTAAGAGGTTGTTTATTTGATGTGGAATATAGTTTAGGTGAGCTAAAAAGCGTATCAAATTTTGAAGTAAAATATTATTAAGAGAAAGATGCTGGTCTTTCAAATTTAAATATTTTTTTAACTAAGCATCATCTTAAAAATAAAATAGTGTAATTCAGCTAACTTAATCTAACAAATAATTTCTCGAACAGTAAAAAATTGTAGATTTTATTGACCTTTATAGCTGACCAATCGACAAGACAATACAAAGATTTACTTTTAAAATGTAAACAACGTGACAACATCCTGTTACTCAGTTACGATTCTGAACTCGCCCCTCATAAATTCAACGCACTGTGCGTCGCTCAGGTAAATTAACCTACCCGGCGTTTCTTCGTGCTTTTCTGGGATCACTTTGAGGCCAAAGCTATACTTTGGTGATTTGTCTTGTAATACTTTCTCCGGGGAGTAGGTACCGGGTGCTGGAAAAATTGATTCATTACTCCCAAAGCAAAATACCATCGGCTGACTTACAGTACCTGGCGTTTCGCTACGAATCTTCACCTCCGGCCTGATTCCGAACGAAAAACTTGGAGAGCTATCTAATACTACTTTTTCGGGTTTGTAATCACAGGGAGCTAGAAGGCGAATCGGTTCAGATACTGAGATAACCTTACCAAAAACGTCTACAAATTACTACGATTCTACTACACATCAACCATGGTTAATAATTGTCGATCGTTATTCGAAAGCAGAGTTTTGTATTTATGATGAAAACGGTCTATGGAAAATGTGATGCACTCAAAGCGAAAAAAATAAGAGATACAGTCAAATGATTCATCATCAAACGCAAATAGATCTTCTTCTTTGACTAGTTTCACATACTTAGTACATGACATTCATTTGCTCATTGGTGACGGGTATGTTGTATATGAATATTGTCCGATATATTTAATAGTGAAGAACTGTTTATATGTCATGGGTGTTAACAGACATGTAGAAACTATTGGGCAGTTATATAAGTTTGCACTAAGGTCTGTATCCACAATAATTCGGACACATTAAAACTTAAGTAAAACACAAATCTCGTGTTATATTTCAATTGAAGTTATTTATTTCAGATTCATGGGATTTGATTTAAAAATTCACGAAGTCAAAACATAGTTATTCGGTATTTGCATAAAATTTTCGAACTTTGTGCTTAACTTCATCCATTAGGGTTTGCCGCCTTTGTTCAAAATTTCTTGGAAGTGTTTGATATCTTTGATTCCTTGTTTCTATACAGAAAGCTTCAGCCTAATCAGAGTCCAATATTTCTCGATTGGACGTAACTCCAGAGATGCCAAATTTACAGACATGTCTGTGAATTTACAGACTATTATTTTTTTCTTGGACATTTTTTTTTTGTTACGGACATTTACATACTTTTAAATTTTTTCACATATATTTAAAGTCTTTTGTAATCAAGGGAAAATTTTATAAGTTATTTGGTTACACTGTTTTATATTGTTAATCAAATTACACGTGCGATGCATTTTGCAACACGCATTAGAAATTCGCGCGTTTTCAAATCCACCACACGAACGAGCAGTCACTGTTATAGACCTGTCAATATGCTGCCATGTTGTATCCAAAACGTCAACTCACGTTGGCCGGTCTATAACTTGACTGTCTATAGTCACTGTCATTGAAAAACTGAATGAAACGGACAGTGTGTATCCATCCTAATCCATCTTTTCATTTGAGAACACCCACCCCATAGAGGTAACTATAAGACCAGAATGTTCCGAAAAAACGTGCTCAACTTTTTGGCTCAGCTGTGGTACTATCATAGAGCCCTGCGCTTCGGTCAGAGAGCGTATAGGGCGTCGTTGTGCCAATTTGGTCGTGGCACATTTCGAGTATGAGAGAGTAATTGCAGTTAGATCAAAAGTGCCTGAGAAAAATGCAAGTACTTTCGCAGATCACCCGAAGTTGCGATAGTGGAAGTATAATCACAGAAAAGCAGACATAACACTCTTAAAACGTTCATCAAAATCTTTAACGGTCAGTTTAAATGTTTCTTAGTTGGTAGTACTGCCATTTGTGGTGCACATAATCAATTCCCTAGCGTTTGACGTTTACACACTACAACCATCTGTTGAGTGTACTGCCCATCATAGTGTATACGACAGATGGCGGTAGGGTTTACAGTGATAAATGTTCAATGTGTTGTGTCTGCTTGTCTGTGATATAACATTGAGGTAACGTTAGGATAAACTCAAAACATTGAGAAATATTACGCATCACTTTCAGAAATACTTCACTTCGCAACCGATGAACCATTCTGACGGCCATATGAGTACCCAAGTAACCATATAGTCGCAATATAGCTTGTACATTCTTACTTTGCTTGAGTATGGTTAGTTGGGGAATCTGATGAAACTGTCACTTCTTGAAACTGATCCCTTTCGTATTTCTTTCATTCTCCGTTCGCAAACGGAGCGCTCGATGGACCAGTGACTTTGGACGTGAGCCTCGTCCCAGATCACCATGGCAATTCAATAACATATGGTGGACATCAAACCGACCAAAAAAGGAGGAATCATATTAGAACAAACCAACCAAGGACGGTCTACGGAAGGAAATTGCCGGTGAAGCACGGAATGAAATACGAAGCGTTAGAGAAAAAGTCCAAGGGATTCCAAAAGAAGCAAATAACGACGGCGGAAGAGCAGAATATGGTGAGAGCTTTCCATTTATTTAAAAAATAAATAAATATCAAAATTACACTAAATACATGCCAGGGTTGAAGAGAATATTTTCGAACCTGGAAGTGTGTATGTATCACCAATATCCATTTGATAACGGTGATGCATACATGCGGGGCTTATTGTGAGTGAAAGTAACCTCGGAATGGGCGTGACTCTCCAGACATTCTGAAATGGGTTGCTGGATCTGCAATAGAGCTATCACCTTCTAACTCCCGGACTAAAGCTGTCTACAATGACCATAGATGCGACATTGTACAGAGAGTTCTTCCATAATAACACTGCCGGCCAGTGGGGGTTAGAGGGAATACACACACACACACACACACACACACACACACACACAGCTGTGGTACTATCATAGAGGTAACTCTAAGACAAGTAGGTCCCGAAGAAACGTGCTCAACTTTTTGGCTCACCTCTGGTACTATCTTCGGTCCCAAGCTTGTCGAATCACCCCTCGAAACATAGGAAAAACCAATAACCCCTTATTTTATCTGTCAAACTTTCATAGCGAATCAAAACAAACATTGCGTAGTAGTAGAATTTCGACTAGAATAGGGTACGTTAATCGTTTGCTTGGGACCAATAGGCTACTAAAGTGGTGAGCCAATTTAAAATCGTTAGTTATTGATTGTTGGTACTATCTTCGGTCCCAAGCTAATCAATGCACCCCTCGAAACATAGGAAAATCCACGAACCACTCATTTTATCTGTCAAACGAATCATAGCGAATCAAAACAAACATAGTGAAGTACTAGAATTTCGAATAGAATGGGGTACGCTTATTGATGTACTGGGGACCAATAGGCTAGTCAAGTAGTGAGCCAATTTAAAGTCGTTAGCTTCCACCGGTTGGTTATACTGTCATGAAGTGACCGTCATCTCTCGTCTTCACTTTATTTTTGCAAAATGTTGCCGCGCACTTTATTTTTATTCAGTTCCGGTCGAACGTTCAAATTTTCTCAACAGCATTGCGGCACTGTATGAAAGTCATTTGAAGCCACTCGAAGAAACATGGTTGCCAGTGACATTGTCAAAAGATCCCTCCAGAACCGTGCTGCTGTTTTGACAGTAATTTTCTTTGCGCGTCTCTATCAACGGCTCTGTCGTACTTGGCTTCGTTGTACAGTACTCTCCATTTCTCGATGATCTTTATTTCGATATTACTTCCTATCTGAATCGTTTCAGCAACCCTGATCTTGATTCATCAACACTTTTTGAGCACGAAGTGTTTAGAATCGTATTAATAACCGTATAAATTGATCTTTTGACTGTCGATTTCTCCATATTTAGGTGGTGGAAAGTTGAATCTTTCACCAAGATGTGCTGGTTCCCCCGCTGCTGGCGTCTAAAAGGACCAGTACTAAGGAACTAACGGATTTTCACACTACATGGCATATAAGATCAACTCAAATTTAAGTTTAAATTACTCAAACTCTAGAAAACGTAGTTTACTTGTAGACTGAGTTAAATTTTCCGAGCCTCATGAATCTTCTCGAATATGACAAAAATCGACGAAAAAATTACTCATTATAGATGTATACTTAAAAATATTACATCACATATCCAATGTAAAATATTAATTACAATATCACATAACTTTCATAGGATGTCATAATTGGGAATTGCACCACAAAATCACATGAACATTATGTGTCAAATGAAATTTAAGTGATTTATCACATAGAACTCATCATGACATAAATGTTATGTGAAATTAAGATAGATATCATTGGTTGTGATAATGGAAAAAATATTATGTTTATTCCCAATGGAAACTACATGTAAACTTCTTTCCGTGTAACAATATCATATGTACATCAAGATGTTGCTCATATTTGAAAATAAATTCCTGTAAAAGCTCGGAAAGTTTTACTCGGTCTATGAGTTAACTACGTTTTCAAGAATATAAGTGAACTAATCTCAACTTTGAGTCGACCTCATTTGTCGTGCAATCATAATTTATCCTTTTATTGATAACTTTTAACGTATATGAAGTAAATGGATGCATTCCCAACTCCAATTAGGTTCAATTCGTTAAAAGCAGGTCTTTTTTGCTCAAACACGACTTTTACTGACATTTCAAATTCCGAATCTATTTCATGACCCCCGTCACACGCAATATTTCTGCTTATTTTATGCAGCCCAATAACAGACATTTCTGAAATTCACAGACATTTGTGACAGACGTCGAGCCTGTGATTTTCTTTGTGACTTTTGATGAAGAGTAGCCTTCGTTTTTGCAGGCATTCTTTCTGGAAAATCTCCTTGTTGATTGTGCCTGTAGTGACGAAAGATTTACTCACACGTGCACATTGCTTGCCAAATATGGTATTTTTTGGGAAACTTCGATGCCTTCTTTGTCCTTAAATACTCAGCAGTAGCATTTTTGGCCATAGCAGAATAGAAAGCCAGCCCTGGAAGCTGCTTGGAATCCTCCAGGACATAAGCTTCATCGTCCATAACAACGCAGTTGTCAAATATTCGCACCACAAACGTCGAGATCGTGATTTTGCTGTCAAATTCTGTTTGTCGTTGTGATTTGAAACTGTTTTTCCTTTATACGACTTCCGCCCCAAACGCTGTTTTGAATTTTGGACAAAATCAGGTGACATTCCTATTTTACGAGCCACCATTCAATATCCTCTTCACCTTTCGCTCCATGACAAGATCAGCACGTTCAATGTTTTTATCACTTCTCTGTTTCCTCTCGACCGTCAAACGTTCCGAAAATCGCCGAAAATGAAAGTTCCCGTATTGACCTAAGAGAAGAGGTGACAATACGGGGGCGAAAATGAACCACTTTTCTGTCAAACGTGAACCAGCTACTGATTGGCCGATTTCATGTGCGTAAGATAGAGATAGAGATAGATAAAGATAGAGAT